GGGGGGGGGGGGGGGGGGGGGGGGGGGGGGGGGGGGGGGGGGGGGGGGGGGGGGGGCACTACTGTGATTCTCTCATGTTATCTGCTGTACACGATTCAGACGTTAGTACACGGGGAAACTAAAAGCTAATGCGTGAATGTGCCACCATCTTCCACCGACTCAATGCTCTGGGAGCGACAACAGTTTGTTTCCCCACTTAAGGCGGACGCCACACGAAGACATCAAACACAAGTGAGAATCCAATTTTTGGCGATGAGGTCAACTTGAAGCAGAAGAGGAGCGCAATCAAACGAATAACAAGTGTAACGCGCTGCAGCAGCTGCAGTTGTGTCGTGCGGGAGTGGCAAACCAGCTACCGCCACCACCCGCACGTACATGGTGGTGTGTGGTGCAAACAACGACTATCATGTGGTATTGTACCGAAGTACTTCTGCTTTTTTCAACAAAAAAAAATGTCGGTGTTCCAGAGACATCACCGCGGTGCTTCTAACGGAACCTCGAATAATCCAAGCGCGCTCCGGAACGGGCACGAACACGCGTGTCCGCCCCACGGTTGTGAAGACGAACGTCTATTTGAAACACTTGACCGTGTTCGTGATGAAAGGTGCTTTATTCTTAGCACGTCATTTTTTTTTTTCATTCTTTTACGAAACAAAAAACAATACTACGCGAATGATTTGTAACTTCACAAGCGGTCCACAGGGACGGCAATGTCTACAGCATATGCATACATAGGATGCACATATGTCGAAAGAGAGCAATGCATACGGAGATGGACAACAGCAGCACATTGTGGTTGATCCCGAGGTAGACCACCCAAGACTTCGCAAACACCCCACCATTGCGGTGGAGACCACAATATACAAACAAAAGAAAACGAACGAAAATCCTCACACTCAACACACCATGGGTACGTCACGACTACCACCATAAAAAAAAAGGACGAGTAATCAACACCGGCTTTCAAACTCTGGTACGCTCTCTCCGACTCCGCTCCGCCCCGTCCCCCTCCCCTGCCGCCAACGGCACAATTTCCTGGAGATCCGCCCCCTCCACCCCTCCCCCCCGCGGGCCCCCCGTCCGGCGCGGCGACCGCCACCCGCGCCTCTTGACGCCATCGGAACGAGCCCCGCTACTCGCACTAGAGCCCGCGTTGCTGCTGAAGCTGTTGCCTTGTCTTCTTCGGGAGCAGAAGCGCCGCGATACCCCGCAGGCGGGAATGGCCAGGGCGAAGCACATCACGTACAGGAACGTGGCGAGGAGAGTGGGACCATTGAAGTCGTTGGCAGCGGTGCCGCCCTTCCGGGAGAAGGCGGCGGTCGACAACACCACCGCGGTCACTTTCGCTCCCTGGCGTGGGGAGTGTTTTTGCGGTGTTGCGCGGGAGAGAACGGGCCAATGGTTGTTTTATGCTTCCATGGAATCCTATTCTTTTTGTTTTCTCAGTACCACAATGAAAAAAAAAAGAAAAAGAAAACTCTATCCACAGATGAGGGTTTTCGTAGCAAAACAATCGACGCTCACGACAGCGCAATCGGCCGAGCAAGTGCTATCTACAGGACCAAGACAAGGGGCTATCATGTGTGGCATTTCACCATTAGTCTACATGTAGTAATGTTCGCCCCAAGAAACGCCGTGGGACTCCCCCTGTGAGTCCTGCCGCCCAGACTCACGTGCGTAAGCACAAAATACTATCATCATCCCTTTTGCGCACATTCGCGGCGGAACCAAAACCATGATGAGATGCCGGTCGTGCTCTATTACACCAATCATGTTGAAGAAACATTGTTTTCCACCAGCCAGCGCGCCTTCGTCAACATTGCGCTAGATGCGTCACTCCGCACAGTCTCTACCTAAGATACAGCTCCTCCCTGTCCGACACGCCGGCGTTTGAGGGAGGTATTACAGTAAAACTGTTCGTAAAAATAGGAAACCTTAACCCTACCGCTGACGCAAAAGTCAACCCAATAGTTTCACCACCCCGCAGGCTTCAACGTCAACACACAAAAACACAAACGACAACAGCACCGCTGTGCGAAGCCGTACGCACCCTTGAGAAGTCGATGAGTCCCGTTATCGTGCCCGCGTGGAGCCGAGATGATGGCTCGTTCCACGCCGACAGCAGCCTTCTGCCCGTCTCCTCTGGCGCGTCGCTATCGACCACCACGGACACCTGCCCATACCGCGGTAAATTTCCGCGGCAAAGCACCGGAAAATATGGAACGAGGATCGGTGCGCGGATGGTAGCCTTTCCGCCTAAGAAAATGATCTATCTAGTGTAAATGGATACTCATTGGTGTCTTGTTGTGCTGAGGTTCTTGGGTGTTGTTTAATTTTCAGTTTTCGGGAAGCAATGGTAAGGCCTCGCACGTGCAATGAGGCCGCTCTCTATGTCAAGGCGGTTGCAATGCTTCACGAGTGTTTAATGGGAATGTGCTCCTACGTTCAAGAGCAACTTGATCAAGTAGCACACTACAAAGTTTCAAGGCAAGAAACAAACAAGCAGACCAAAATGCGTTAGCCGAGCAAATGGCCCCTCTTCCTCGAACGTACGTGGATGGCAGCAGCGTGTTAGCAATAAAACCGATATCTGCCAACTCTACCGACCAAACACTGATATCAGGTTACCCCGCATATTACCAACTCTGCGGCAATCGAGGATACCCCCGCACATCTGCCAACTCTACGGCAGGATACGCCCGCATGTCAATCAACCCTACGACTATGCAGGTTACCCCGCACATGTATCAACTCTATACGGCGATTCTGGTTATCCCGCATGTCTATCAATTCTATACGGCATTGCAGGTTGCCCCGCATGTCTACCAAATCTACGGCGATTCAGGATACCGTGCACACCCCTACCAGCTCTGCGTAAATCCAGGTTCAACCCCGCACATCTACCGACTCTACGACAACGCAGTTTAGGCCTCGCCTACACCGCCCCCGCCAAGAGTCTGGTCCGGTGAGAACCCGGCGTGCTCCGTCCCGGCTTTGTAGGGATGCGAGGTCGATGGTCTAACGACTACGGCATGCACTATTATGAGTACACCCCCCNAAACGGCGTGTGAATACCCTACACCCAAGGGGCCCTCCATCTGGAAACGTCGGAACACCCCTGGGCTACGCTGCAATCTTGGTCGCGGGGGGTGGGGGTGGGGTGGGCCTTTTATGTCCCCGGGCGGGGACATTTTGACAAAATCCCCGGGATTTCGACATTTTTGGGCGCTTTTTTCAGAGCGCGCGCGCGGGATCCCACACAGAGCTAGTGGAAGTTACGGAAAAACACCCCAAGAACACGCGTTAATCTTGGTCGCGAGGTCTCGTGTACGGTGTGGGAAATACTATGACGACACGAAGCCTACAAATGAAGAGAAATTTATGGGTTTTCGAATGCGGCACGAAAGTCTATCCCATGAATTGTATATCGGTTTTACTATGGACACACTAAATCCCATACAATAGACTGCTGCGAGCGTGCCGTCTAAACCCCCTATATTGCGCTGCAATCTTGGTCCGGAGGGGGGAGGGGGGGCTGGGGTGTTCCACGGTTTCCACATGGCGGGCCCCTTGCTACACCAGCACGACTCACGTTCAACGCCCCCGTTCCCCACTGCTCCCAAGTTCCCCAGTCCACCAGCGTCTCCCCGGCCGGAGTAACGCCTCCCACTTCGACCACGTTCATCGAAACTCCGAGCGCCTGGCCCACGTCTGATCGCAGCAGGGCCGAAAACGCCGCCCCTTGCTCATCCAACGCCGCTATTCTAGAAGACGGGATGACATCCCCGTTCTCGGTGTTTCCGTCAGAAGGCGGTAGCACCCGCGGCTGTGGGGTGGGGGGGGGGGGGCG